GATTGTGGAGGGTTGTCACAAAAAATTAAGGATTGTTTCAAGAGAAATGATCTTTGATGGTATTCCCTTGGATGTGGAATATTATCAATGCGAATGAGGATTGTTTCAAGAGAAATAATTTTCAATGATGTTCCCTAGGATGTGGAATATTATCAAAGCAGAGAGGATAGTTTCAGGCGAAGCAATCTTCTAATTTGGAAGCAGTTACAAGGCGTATCGGTTTTCAAGCGGGATGACATTCTCTAGCTTGCAGGAGGTCATCAAAACAAATCGGTTACTTTCAGAGACGTGTGCTCGACGGTGCAAGATACGCGTTTCTTAACTCTTTTATCTATTTAACTAATGCTAGTTTTGCAGGTATCGGCGTTACAAGATTGATTTAGGATCGCAGAACGTTCTGAATCATTCTCCGTCCCTATCGATACTTTGACTTTCGTTTTTTGAAACTTGCGTTTCTCCAAACTCAGTCAAAGTGGGGGCTTCTGTAGACACCCATTTGTGTCTCCCCAAAACCAAACCCAGTGATGAATGCCTTTCACGTCGGATTATAATCGAATGAAACGAAAGTGTGGAAAGGTCTAGTGTTGCGGAAAGTTTTATTTCTTTTCTTTTCTCTTCTCTCTGTTTTTGAAAACTTTATTTTAAGAAAAAAGTCAATCCAGTTTGGTTGGTCCATGATATGGGTCCAATAGTTGTGTAGTTGGATGGGGCTTGCAAAGACCTTTCCAACGATATATTATAAGCCCAATTCCGATGAATATTGAGGAAGTTATGGCCAATTTACTAAACTGGGCCCGGTTTGAGTTTTAAGTACGGCCCAATGATCTAGGGGAGGGCCTAATATGATTTATCATTCCTAATGTAATTAGGAATGGTTTTGGTCTTCTAGAACATTCTAGAAGGTCTTATCATTCTTAATTCAATTAGGATTCTTTAGAGTTTTAATTAGATCAAATAGCATTTCCGACTGAAATTATATTATTTTATCTTCCAGTACGGTAAAATTATCAGATTTTCGAAAACGTGTTAAAAGCCGGTTTGGCGTCCAACCCCAGGCCTTGGCGCCTGGAACCAGGATTGGCGCCAGACGCCAGCCATTGGCGCCTGGCGCTAGCCACTGGTCTTGGCGCCAATGAGCCAGGGCTGGCGCCAAGTTGTTTCTGTGGTCTTCAGACTCTGTTTTGATAAATTATCTTTTTTGGCTGATTTTCTCTATAAATATCGTATCAAAAATTCCGTTTTCATGCACCAATTATCAACTATCTTCATCATCTACAATCAACCCTTTTCGAGTCTCATCCACTCATTCTAAATCATTGCCGAAACAAATTCAGGAATTAAAATAGAAATCCTCCCCCAGTGGAGTCGCCAAAAAACTGTAGGGAATAGTTTCAAGCCTTTAAAATCCCACTAGCTTGAACCCCAGGCCTTGGCGCCTGGAATGCTAACAGAAAGAAAGAATGCTAACAGATTAATGTTATTCAGAATTGATGAAAGAAAGATGATGAATAGAGAGAATTGGATGAATGAGATGAATGATAAAGAATAAGGAGAATTGATGAATGTTGATGATTGTTGATTGTAGATGATGAAGATAGTTGATAATTGGTGCATGAAAACGGAATTTTTGATACGATATTTATAGAGAAAATCAGCCAAAAAAGATAATTTATCAAAACAGAGTCTGAAGACCACAGAACCAACTTGGCGCCAGCCCTGGCTCATTGGCGCCAGGACCAGTGGCTAGCGCCAGGCGCCAATGGCTGGCGTCTGGCGCCAATCCTGGTTCCAGGCGCCAAGGCCTGGGGTTGGACGCCAAACCGGCTTTTAACACGTTTTCGAAAATCTGATAATTTTACCGTACTGGAAGATAAAATAATATAATTTCAGTCGGAAATGCTATTTGATCTAACTAAAACTCTAAAGAATCCTAATTGAATTAAGAATGATAAGACCTTCTAGAATGTTCTAGAAGACCGAAACCATTCCTAATTACATTAGGAATGATAAATCATATTAGGCCCTCCCCTAGATCATTGGGCCGTACTTAAAACTCAAACCGGGCCCAGTTTAGTAAATTGGCCATAACTTCCTCAATATTCATCGGAATTGGGCTTATAATATATCGTTGGAAAGGTCTTTGCAAGCCCCATCTAACTACACCACTATTAGACCCATATCATGGACCAACCAAACTGGATTGACTGTTTTCTTAAAATAAAGTTTTCAAAAACAGAGAGAAGAGAAAAGAAAAGAAATAAAACTTTCCGCAACACTAGACCTTTCCACACTTTCGTTTCATTCGATTATAATCCGACGTGAAAGGCATTCATCACTGGGTTTGGTTTTGGGGAGACACAAATGGGTGTCTACAACCCTCCACCCGGTCTTCATGCACAACATAAAGGTGATAAAAACCATCTTTCTCAGGTGCTTCAAGAAACTCAACTATGTCCTTATCACCCTCAATTCTAGGCCTCCTAGTGTGTAAAGAACAACCCTTCTTTCTAAACCAAATATCCCCCACCTCAGCAAATTCCAAGTCAGTTTTAATCCAATAAACAAACTCAAAATAGCGCGCCTCCTCAACATTCACACGCAATGCAACCCCCCCACTTTGACGGGTCTACATTTGGCTTTTTTTCATAAGTTGTCTTGTCATTCTTAGTCACAAAATGACCACCATAGTACATCCTAATGTTAATCGATTCCATGAATATAAACTAAGGTTCAAACATATTCACTCTACCATTAAACTTGACAAACAAATAAACCAAAACAAAATCGAAGAAATTCAACATATTCGGGTTACATGTGAACCATTCAAGTCAACAAATTCAACTATAATTAATCAATGTTAGTGGGTTTTGCATCAACAACATAGTACAAATTCTCCAACAATTAGGTTAATTAGGTTCTTTTTTGTCTAATTAGTTATTTGTTAAACCCTAACAATTTACGCAATTTATGCATTTTCAGTGCAAAATTGAACAACAACGTACCTTGGTTTGTGTTTAACAACGTATTTGGGGAACCTTGTTTTGCGTCCAAACGACCCCTTTCTTCCTTCTTTAGCCATTGAAAAGAAGAAATTCGTGAGTTCAAAAGTATAGTAAAATAAGACCCCCCCCCCTTTTTTTTTTGCTATTTCCAGTAAAATTATGACGAATTTAATATTACTTAAGGTTATTGTTGAGGTACTAATGGCATGCAGCAGATGAGAGAGAGAGAGAGAGAAGCCCAAACTGATGTGATGGAATTGCAGAGAATTTATGGAAGAAAAAGGAGAAAACGAGAATAGAGGGGAGTTGGAGGGAAAATTAGAGGGGAAATTAAAAGGTGGAGTGCAAATATTGAAATCTGGGGTGCAAGTAGTGAAAAGAAGAAGTCAATGCCGGGAAGTTGTAGTCAATGCCGGAAAAGAGGGGGGGAGGTTTCTTTACACAAAAAAAAAACGTGTTGGTTTTATTAAACAAAAAATCGTTTAAAAGATTTTTTTTTTCTTGCAAAATGTGCCATTTAAAAGATTTTTTTTTTAACAAATTTGCCATATATTTAAGGTAGTATCATATTTTAATTGGTTGTAACGACTTGACTAAAAAATCTTTTCCTTATGATGTTGATCTTTTGTCAACTTAGCCTCAGTTATAAAGAATCATTTTTTAATTAGATTTTCTGGACAAAAATAAAAAAATAATAAAAAAATTGATGACTCATAGTCCCTAAACTATTGCTGAGTAGGATAGGTCCCTCGACTTTGGGCTGACAAACACCAAACATGAAGGATGAGGGAAAAATGCACAAAATAGTTCAGAGGGACTAAAAGATGACAAATACAAGACTATAGGGACTGTATAATACTTTTCAAATACTTTTACTCCTAAACCATTTTCATGTATAGCGAATTAAGAGCTAGACTTGAGTGTGGTCGTAACTAAAAGGATGATCTAGAACTGATAAATAAAATCAGTTGGGCACTAACTAACAAAATAACCAGTGTGTGATCTAGGTTTTACTCTGGATGCTACTTTGAATAATTTTCAATTTTATTTTAAAGTTTTAACGACTTTTTTTTTTATTTTCTTTTTTTTTTAAAAGTTTATAATTTTTTTTGGGTTTTGTTAGTAATTATGATATAATGGAAACAATAATAATTGTAATGTGATTTGATATTCAAAAATTACACCCCAATTTGTAATTTTTGTACTACTTTAAGCTAAGACGGTCATAACTCATAAGTTAGGATTTCATTCAATGTGATTTGATATTCAAACCTTTATGCAGTGACGCTAGTGAAAGAAGGGGCATGCATACATAGCACATAAACATTTTTAGGGACATTTTTAATAGATAATATAGATTAAACAAAACAAAGGTTGAATTTTACTCATACAAACCTTGTAAAAAAAAGGTCTTGATCTTAGTTGATACTCTTATACGGAGTAGTTGCTAAGCCATTCAAATATTCAAATTCATTTACTCGGTAATAACTACTTAATTTAGTCTTTTTTAAAATGAATTTAAACGTTTTTTTTTTCGTTTACAATGAAGAGGCACATGCTAGGCACCTTAGTAGATCCGCCTATGCAATTATTAGAGCTAACCAGTGATGTATACAATGGTTATTCAAGCACTTTTTTCACTACTAGAAAAACATTTATTTGCAGCGGTCAAAAATCATTAATTTGCTGCGTTTTTTGGATGGCAGCAAACGCCAGTGCAGCAAATCGATTGATTGATTTGCTGCGGCGACATCCGCTGCAAATCAATGCATTTATTTGCGGCGGATTTCTATTTTAACCCCCGCAAATAAATACATTCTACTAATAAAATAATAAATTATTTGTTGCGCTTTATGTGTAACACCCGCTGCTAATTAATAGTATTTTTTAAAAAAAAAATCCATTATTTGGTAATAAATAATTAATAAATCAAAATTTCGACAGCACCTCCTCTGTTTTTACGTGTGATATACCCATGAAGGACCTGTATTCCTGAACTTTATGAACAAAATACTTTAAATTAGCCCAAATTAGATTACCACAATACATATGATAAATTGTATTGTACGATTCAATTTTCTACATACAAAAAATATCACTCCAAAACAAAAGTCAAAAAATATTGCTGCGAAACTATGATCACACGCAATAATTAGTGAAATATGATGCCCATATGTTCCGCACTTCTTCAATATCATCATCAGTGTAAGGATCTTCATTTAAAGACATGCAAACCTATGAACATGATAAAATATATATAGTAAGTCATCAAAGTAATTTTAATAACAATAATAATAACATAGTAGAGAGTTGCCCCCCCCCCCCCCCCCCGGTCATATAACTAAGTTTTGTTCTAAGCCCCGTCACACCCGAGCAGCCATGCTAGCTTTGATGCACAAAAACAAAGGATATCTTGATTAATGTCTCCTTAATATGTGGTACTAAGTATAATCCCAAACACCAACTGAAGCATCAAATAGATTATTACTTTAACAAAGGTTCAGTGGGCACATAAATTAGTTAGCACATTGTCCTTAAAAACAGGCTAGATTCAAAATAATGCAACAGTGATTTACCAAAAAAAAAAAAAAAAAAACAAAAAAAAAAAAATTAAATGATGCAACTGTGAAAAAAAAAAAAACGCCTTTAATTTGTTGGATACCTTTATTTGGTTTAAATAAGGCTATATATAAATAAAAGATTCATTTTGAAGACATTAGTAATGATAAGAATGAAAGGTCATACTCATACCTCATCAATATCATTTTCTTCACCGTATTTGGAGAGTATGTCATACATGTATCTCATTGTGTAAAAGCCACACTCGGTACCACCTCTTTGTTGAGCACACTAAGTAAAATTCAACAAAAAAAAAAAAAAAAAAAAAAAAACAAAAACAAATTAAGGTGTATAATTGTTTTAAGGGTACCAAAATAGATTCCATTCATACGATATCATCTAAAACATACTATTTACTTACCTTCACAAGTTTCCATAGAGGTTCTTTTCTATTCACACGGTTTCCATTTAGCTTAAACCTCGTGAAAAAACTATTCATTTTCATTACAAAAGTAGAATTATAAGTATATTACTTGTTGCATATGTCTTACATATAATGTATATATAGAAACAAGAAACAATAAAATAGACTTACAAGCTCACAATAGTCTTCATTTTAACATTTCTCCTTGTCGTGGTTGGTCGAGCAGAGTCAAATTGATAAATAGTGCAAGTAGGTACACAGATTACCAAAAGCATCCAATGTTCCCTACGCCAGAAGGTAAGAATGTAAAATTCATCACATGTATGTATACTTAAGGGGTACACAATATGGAACTTATAAAGAAAAATATGAAAGGAAAGATAACGTACCAAAGTCACAATTAAAGGTGGTTGGTGCCAAGCTAGCAAGGACAAAAGTGATCATATGTTTGGCCTTCACTTCTCATTTGTTCAACAAACTTCCTAGTGAAAAAATGCATTAGCATAAAAATGTAACCAAGTACACTAAATCATCATTTAAAATAAATTAACTACAAGCATTGAGTCTTGAACTAATACCTTGGAAATGTTTTTAAGAGATAATTAATAATTCTCCAGAGGTTTCAGGGTACGCAGTAATATCATCATCACTGTCACAGATAAAATGCAGTAATCAAAGGAATACACCAATAACAGGGAGAGGCAAAACTAATGCTTTGAAGTTGGGCAATATATTCTGCCTAATATTCTGCTTAAGACTATATCCCTGTTGTGATACATTGACCCTTGAAGGCAATGACTTTACTCAACTCCCTCTTTCATTATTCATACATTATAATACATACACCAGATACATTCTAATCATAAGCAAACTCAATTCATGAAATCAATGGAGCAATAAAATGGGTTCCTAATATTCTCAATCACCAATGCAACAGTTCATTAAACAAATCTAAAATCACACGCAAACCCAGTTCATTGAATCAACAGATTTAAATGGGTATCAAAATTGTCTAACAAAAAATTACCAAATTCACATAAGCAGCAAATCGATAAAAATTATAACCAAGAACAAGCTAGCTTAGATTGAGGAAATTCATAAAAAGATACTAAACAACCCAGAAGCAGCAGACCAAGCTAGAATGTGAAAATTCATGCAAAAAAAAAAAATCAGAACAACCTAGAAGCAACAAATTAATAAAAATAAAAACCTAGAACAAGCTGCAATGAGCAAATTCACTACAAATCCGAACAACCCAGAAGCAGCAAGTTGATAAAATTAAAACCTGGAACAAGGTAGAAAGCTAATTCACGAAAAAATTAACCCAATAAACCCAACAATTGTGAAATTGACGAAAAAATGAGACTTTTTTTTGCTTCAATGATTCGTTATTTCTAGCTTCAACAAACCCAACAATTGTGAAATTGACAGTCGATGAAATTACTATGAGTAACTCAAATTGATAATCGTTGATTTACAAAAAAAAAAAAAAAGTATTTACCTGATTAGGGTTTCGTCCTACAATTCGACGGTGAGGCTGCGGCGGCCGCTTGTAGAGACTGACGAGGAGGAACGGTCGGCGATGGTTGTGGAAAGTGAGGTGGTGGAGAGTGAGGTGGTGGAGTTTGAAGCAAGAACTTTTTTTTTTTAACAGAAGAAGCAAGCAGAACGTGAGGGAGGGGTGAGTGAAATGAATTAGGGGCTTAGGGCGGGTAAGGATGAAAGTGTAAGGGGGAAAATATTGATTTGCTGCGTATTCTTTAAAAAACCCCTGCAAATAAATAGTTTTGATTCATGTACATTTAAAACCCCTTTTAATTTGCAGCGTTTTAACAAAAATGCAGCAAATTAATAGCAGCAAATAAATATTTTTCTAGTAGTGTTTTTATTTTTTTTTTTGAGGTAAAAGAGGGATTAACTACTACATTCAACGTTCACAAAGGTAAAAGAGGGTTGCCCAAAATTACAAGTGACTGATCACCAACATTAGAAATCCTGACAGAGCCTTCTACTAAAGAACTAATGCAAATACTAGGGGGAGTAACTATATTACACAACCTGAACAAAATATTTGAACTCCCACGTGATTCCTTAGTAAGCATATCAACCTCCTTGTTCTTCCCTCTTTCACCATAATAAAGCTTCACTTCAGGTGGTTCCTGTAGCTGCAACCTCCAAAGATTTATATTTGGAGTTAAAGTGGAGCTAAATTCTGGTTTGGTCAGCTCATCTACTAGATATTTACAATATGTTTCAATACAACAGCTATGCCATCCCTTTCCTTGAATCCACTATATTGCTATCCTGATGGCATGAAATCCAGCTTCCTTGGGAGAAGCAAAAAAGCCCCTCCATTGGAAACCCCATTTTCATTTACCATAATTATCCCTACAAGCACCCGCACAACTTAACTCTTTGGTGGCATGAACAAAGGAAGCATCCACATTAATTTTAAGGGCAGAAGAAGGAGGAGGTTCCCATGTAGAAAGATCGGGATCTATCCAAGCATCATGATTCTTAGAGGAATATAACCATTCATTAGCAGCCCAAATACAATGGGAAAACTAATTTTTTAAGGTTTTGGTTTGTGTTTGAGAAGATTCATTGGTTTCTCCTTTTCCATATGTGCCAAATGACAAAAGAAAAGAGGATATTCCATGGAATGTTAGAAAAGGAGATGGAGTTGCTTTATGGATTGTTTGACACCCAAGAATGCAGGGGTTTAGTTGGAGATTTAGAGCAGCTAGGTGGAATTACTAGTTTTGACCAGAATTCAGTGGCTCTAGGCAGGAATGGAAGATATGGGATGAATCCTCTTCTTTCGAAGGAAAAAAAAAATACATTTTCTAGATGGTCCAACATGTCTAAAGAAGAGATTTGATGCTGTAGGAAGTTTGTCCTAGATAAGTTGCCAAATGAACAACTTAATTTTAGGGTAAGTATCAGCTAACCATATGGTCCTCTAATCAATGGTTTGAAAATGAGGAGCCTGGTGAGGCTGAGCCTTATTATTAACAAGCCAATCCTTGGCTAGCTTGCTATCAAACTTGCCTTTTTTACTCCGCAAGGTGAAGTTAGAGTCAATGACAGGTTGATATTATGAATCCTGGCAAACAACTCATCAGGTAGAATTAAATTGCTTCTTCTAACTCCTGTTTGGAGTGGATTAGTAGAGAGCTCAGGGTTTGAGCTTAAGCTCAGATAGTCAGAGGACCTATTAGTTTTCTTTTGATATTCTCTGCATGAAGCCATGCATCATCCCAAAAGTTGATGGTGTCTCCATTTCCAGGTTCCCATTTGAGGTTCTCTTTGAAAATATCCCAACCTTTCCCTAAGGCATTCCAAATGTGGGATCCTTTATTCCTCACATACTTTTCAAACAAAATCTTCCTTGCGTAGTTTGTTTTCCCATCTAACATCCAACACAGTCTTGCCAACCCAAGCTTGTTCAGTTCATCATGATTGAGAAAACCTAGACCTCCCTTCTCTTTTTTCTTAGTAAAGGAATTTCCTCCCCCTCCCCAAAGGAAATTTGAACAAATGGAGTTTAGTTTATTTGTAATGTATTTGGGAAACTTTAGACAAGTCATTTGGTGTCTAGGGATAAAGAGAAGGGTTGATTAGAGTAGGATCAGTTTCCCTCCCCTTGAAAGAGTGTTTGTTTACCAGGCTGCAAGCTTTTTCCCCATTTTCTCAATGATTTTAAACAACTGGGTTTTAGTGGGTTTTTTCTCAGAAAGGGGATCAGATATGTGCCTAGATTAGCTAATTATTTAGTCACATTTAAGGCTTGTTCAAAGTCATCCACAATGCTAGCTAATTGGGGTGTTTTTTGAGAAGTAGATTTGCCTCTTGTCTTCATTTATCTTCTGGCCAGAAAGAGCGCAAAATTTTTTCATTCTAAGTTAAATACAGTAGAGTTTTCTTATTAGCCACCCCAAATAGCAGCAAATCATCAGCAAAGAGGAGATGTGATATTAGAGTACTACCTCCTTTGAATCTGAAGGGCATCCAATTCTTCTTGTGACATTCATCATGAATCATTCTGGAAAGGTATTCAAGATAGAGAATGAAAATGTAAGGGGACCACAAAGGCCCCCCTTGTCTAATACCTCTAGAGAATGAAAATGAAAATGTGTGACAGCTTGCCATTGATAGGGATTTTTGAAGTGAGAGAGGTGATGCAAGACATGATAAGAGAAATGGAGTCTTTAGGGAAGTTGAAGGATTGCTAACAAAGTTTTATGAAGGGCCACTCTAGCCTAACATAAGCCTTTTCTAAGTGGGGTTGTAAAACGTTGCTCCCCTTTTACTAAGCATCATTCGCATTTTTTTTAGGATTTTACATTTTTACCCCTATCAAATAAATACCCACGACTCACTCCACGACACTCACAACTCTCATACTTCACTCTTATACTAATATACAAAGATTACAATAATAATACTACCTTCGCTTCAGATTACTCGCAACAGTTTCCTAAAATGGCTGCTTCACATTACTCGCAACAAATTATTGTCTTTCCTTTTTTAGTAAGTTTTTGACCATAAAATGACAATTTTACCCTTACTTTTTTTTTTATAAACATCCTAATTAAATTATAAGTTTGTTCTTATTACCTTAATATGTAAGGTTAATTAATTTCACCTTATCACTATATTCATCCTAATTCATTCCCCTCCATCTACATCCAACATCTTCTTTCATAAGTTTTCTCTCTCTTCCTTCATAATCACCACCTTCAATGGCAACCACCACCTTCAATGGAAACCACCACCATCACCACCGCCACTACCACCACCAACATCTTTAATGGAAACCACCACCTACATCGCCGCCTTTGTTTTCTCTCTCTTCCTTCGCCTTTTGTTTCCTCATTTGGCTATGAAACCCAAATTCGAAGGTTTTTTTGTCAAATTTAACCATCAAAACTCTAGATCTAGAGTTTTGATGATTAAATTTGACCAATTAATGTTGTAATCGATGATAGAGAAGGGTTTGTATAGACACCTAAAAATGTCTCCCCAAAACCAAACCCGATGATGAACAACCTTTCACCGCCACTATTGGTCGGTTCAATATTTAATCCCGAGAGTGCTTAAAAATCGTATTTGATTAAATTCAATTTTTGAATAGTCCATGGATTAGTCTTGATGTTTGGTCAAAGCATAGTTTTAATTTCAGCCCAAACTTATTATTTAATTTTAGCCCAAACCTTTTTTTTTTTTTTTATTTTACTGTTTATTTTAGCCCAAATAATAATAAAATCAGAATATGGCCCGAAATTATCAATCGGTACTTAAAATGCTGAACGAAATTAGGGTTAAAAATGAATTTAGACAGAAAAGCGGACTGAAAAATTCCCGCGTCACGGCAACAGTCCACCGTGTCACGAGAAACTTTCCCGTCTGACGATGGGGTTCCCCGTGACACGGGAAACCTGCTGTGACACGGGAATTTCCGTGTCCTTTCCGCGTAAACCCTTAACGCGTTTTCTCCCCCGTTCACTAAACATTTCCCGCATCACACAAAATGTGCATCGTGTCAAGGGAATGTTTCTCGTCTGACGGTGGGATTTCCCGTGTCACGGTACACTTTGCCGTGTCGCGGGATACTTTTTTAGGGTTTTTATCATTTAAGGGTTCTGTGTGTTCCCTCAACACATTTTTTCTATAAATACCCCCTTATTTCTGATATACGGGGGCATCAATTAATTCTCTAGTTTTTTCTCTCTTCTATGCTCTAGCCTAAACACTAGCCTACCCTTATTCTTTCAAAATTCCTTCTTCAAGCACTCCTAGGAGTCCATACTTTTCTCGTGGTTCTGTCCTTAAGCCAAGGCGTGAAAGGTAGAACTGTTTGAGGGTTTGGCCCTAAATCAACTCTACTTAATTTAATTTAATTTAATTATTGTTCTATTATTTCCTTGAAGTTACTAACTCGTTTATTATTTTGTAGTTGCAAGCAAACAAAATCAAAGTAAGAATTATGTTCCTTTTAATACTATTATTTTTCTAACGATTTTGTATTGTTGGAATTATTGTTAAATTGCTTCCTATATTAATGTTAATTATTCTATTATTTATTATGATCACAATATTGCATGTTTAAAGGGAATATGTAATTGAAAATCACGCCTAATAAGATAATTTGGACAGCCGGTTTAGGTTCCTTTTTAATCTTGTTGCTTAATTCAAGTGATCACAAATATTTTAGAATTATGTGTTGCATTAATATTCAACCAATTTAGCCTAATAATAGTTTGGAGAAAATCAAATCTCTGTTTGTATGCCTTTGAGATTGCATGAATGCTTTTCACTATAAGAATCGAGTAGAGGCCAATACGGGCGAATGTGACTCCATGACTCACTTCGTACCACCATCCCCGATCCTCCTTTCGTGGTTCCGAACCATATGGAGTTAGTAATTTCATGGATTATGAATGGGGTGTAACCTTCACGGGTCAATCGTTGTTGCCTTCGTTGTCCCTTTATCGTGGTTGCCTTTTATGATCCGTGATCAACGGTTTACAAGTTCCTTTAAAACTTGTTGGCGACTCCCTACTTTCCTTGTCCCTAATCGTATATGTCAATTCCCACTTCCTAAGAGTGTCAAGCATATTCACCACATGCTTTTAACGTAGGCGCACTTCGAGCGACGCCTACAATTTGTGGGTTCGTGGTAAGTTTGTTTGTGGTTGCTAGATTCGTGGGTTGTGGTGGCGTCGTGGGTTCGTGGGTTGGTGGTGGGTTCAAGGTTGAGTGGTTTCGTTGGGTTGGTGGTGGTGGGTTTTAGGATAATCGTGGTTTGTGGGTTGGTGGTAGGGCTGGCAAATGGATCAGGTCGGGTCGGGTTCGTGTTCGGGTCAACTAATTTTCTGGTCAGCTACCCCCAACCCGAACCTGATCCATTTAACTTTTCGGGTTGAAAACCCCAACCTGAACCTGATATTTTCGGGTTCGGGTCAACCCGATATTGACCTTATTTGACCTGATTTTTTTTTTTTTGAATCAATTTGCTTTAACTTGAAACTGACTTGATTTTTTTTTTCTCCAAATATTAATCTGATATGGGTTAAGTGATTCATATAATAATCTGATATTAGGTAAATCATATAAATTATATGAACAACACCGTATAAATTTGGTAAATTGTAAAAATTTAATCAAAAAAAATAACAACAATAGAAAT